CAGAGCCCTGAAAATGGGAGTACGAGCTGTGCAACCACCACTTACCCTGCACCAGGAATGCGTGCCTTAGAGCACAGCACCTTCAGCTCCTGCTGTGGTCCAGTCATCAGCTTTTTGGATTTATTAGCAAAGTAAAGCCTGCTCACGAACTGTCAGGTCTACAAAGAAATACAGTCTAAATACAATGGAGAACCACAGTGAAAGCAAATACAAGTATTTTTAAACTTTGAACAATGAGACCAAAAGGTGGACAAAGAATGTACAGCGTTACTACCCCACACAGCGAATAAAAATTGCCAAAGACTATCAATTAATTCTAAATCAACTGTGCTGTAATTAAACCTTCTACAATTTAGATACCAATTCACACATCTCAGTGTCATCAGCAGAACGAATGAATGGAATGAATGTTTTTCTGGAACTTCTTTTAAAAGTTGGGGTCTCAAACTATCGCTTCTCTCCTGCTCCCTCTGGACAGCCTTTGTACTAGACAGATAAAAAAAGGAACACCCCATCCATACCCACACAGCACAGGCAATTTCAAAGACAAAGATCAAGGCCTAATCTTCTGATTTTTGGCATGAATCTTATCATCCAGGGTTATTTCCTACTTGGCAATTTCCAACGCCTATCTTACGTATTTACAAAAAACCAGGAATTAACAACAGCTCATGACATTTTTATTTTAATGAAATTTAAAAAGGCAGTTATTAGTTATACATACACACAACTGATTCTGTACTTGTTAGTCATAAATATAGAACATTCAGAAGTACAAAATACACTTTATCCACAGCACAATTTCACATCAATATGAAGAGCTTAAACAGATACGTAACCAAGTGCCTAACAATGACAGAAGCCCATTTTTGGGGCTTTTTTTTTTTTTTTTTTTTTTTTTAAAGACCATTAATCTACACAAAGTATTCAGTGCCCGTAGTCATCAGTTCCAGTTTAGAGTAGGAAAATACTGAGACATTTAGATGGCATCACCTTTTCTTTGCTCCATTAATAGAAAGAAAACCAAGCCCGTGTTCTCTTCTCACAGTTTAACAACTGTGAAAAATGGGACCCTGGCAAAAATCACCTGAAACCAAGCTTGAGCACTGCCAAGAAAAGTGAAAATATCTGAACTAGAAATTAGTCCACTCAATACCTTGCAAAGAAAGAGCAACAGCAGTATGACACTGATAAGGCATTAATGACAAAATGGCTGTATTATTCTCGAAAAAAGAGTACACCTATGTATAAAAATATATGTCATAGCAATTGGGTAAATCCAACACTATTTAACACTGTGCCAAAAGTAATCAAGAGTTAAAAAGGCAGTACTGCAAGAAATATTTACAGTTTCATACTGTACTTCAAAAGAAAAAAAAAAAAACAGGCAACAAAGCTACAAATGGAACTATCTGGTTAAAGCGTCACCGTAGGTACTGCCAGTAGCACTTACAGCAAGTAATGTGATGGAGTCTCTCTTGTTAAACAGGATTGCTTGGCTGAATAAATCAATTTAAGTATCTTAGTATCTAAAATCTTCTCAGTCTACACGCCTGCTCATTGAAATAACTCACCCAGACTATTACTATTTGCAGTTTCTTGCTCCATCAGCTTAAACCCCAAAACATTCAGTTTCATGAAACACTGTGTTTGCAACACAGTTTGGTCAGAAATCACAGCTTTATTTCCAGCTTAAAAAACACAAAAAAAACCCAAGAGAAATCCACCACCTGTGAAATTCTGGAAATGGGCAGTCAAAGTGCCAGCAAAGCTACACCAATGGCACGTAATAAAAACGTTAGCATTCCAAATGCACTTTATAACGTCAGCTAGAGGATAAGTAAGTGGCTTTAGCAACCGAACACGTGACAAAAAGGTACAGCACAGGCAACGCCACACAGCTTTTTTTGGCCACGAGACCTGGGACGAGGCTGTTTTGGAGGAGCAAGCCAGGACAGGGCGGCAGTGCGGGGCGAGGGCAGCGCAGGATGTCCACCAGCGGTAGCGAAGGCTCCACGGGCTCGTTTGCTCGCTCAGAAGCACTAAGGTGACCGATTTTAAGCTCATTAAACTCTCCCTCCTCGCCAGCTCGGGAATAGCAACCCAATGGCTCCCCCCAGGGCGTGGGAAAGCCCTGGGATGGCCAGGAACGGGAGGGGAGGTAAGGAAGGGTGGAAATGGCAAGAATAAAGCACTGGCTCAGGATGGCAGAACAGAAACAGGGGATGATAAAGGTTCACAGGGAAATCCCAAACCTGGCACTATCTCGACCGTCCCTTAACAGAGTAGCCATCCCCTTTCCCAACCAGAAAGGCAGGAGTGGCCTACCCGGTGAGAAGCTGTCCGGGCTCTGATGCCTCAGGCATACTGGCTTCAAAAAAATAATACTATATTTAAAAACAACAACAAAAAAAGAGAGGTGTGCTTGAAATTCTGCTAGCAGTGCAATTCTAACTGCACAATCAATTCTGTACACGAGAAGGCTTCTACAGTAGTATAAAAACCATGACACGCTAAGGAAGTCATCATCGCTGACATCAGGAGAAAGAAAATTACTTTAGAAAACTTATATTTAGATCGAATTCAGGAACAAAAGCAAACTATAAATATACTTTCAGAAGTTTGTTGGGTAAAATAAAACAGAAGAACAGCAGTTTTTCAACTTTGTTTTTCACTTTGCAGAGAAATATTCTTTAAAAATTTTAGAAGAACTGATGCTTGTCACATCACAACACAGACTGCTCATCCACTGCTCCCTCCCTTGTGATCAGCCCCTTTTAAAGGGTGTCCTGCTGTACAGATGCTGAGTCTTTTGCTCAGCCAGCACAGCACTTAAGCACCTTTTACAGACATCAATGAATTTTGTTCTGGGACAGCAGAGCTTTGCCTGTCTAGTTCAATGAGCAGTCATTCATCTGAGCAGCATGTGCAGAAAGGGAGAAGGCTCCAAGAGAATAAACATCCATGTATTTAAAAGAATAGTGCGTAAGCGCATGGCTTGCCCACCTAAGAAGGTGTCTTCCCAGTCTCTGGGAGAGGATAGGAGGTTTTTTGTTTGTTCTCAGCGTAATTTTGGTGAGGCAAGTACAGACCAAGAGATCCAACGCCTCTCCAGTACTGCATCTACAGATATAAAAAAAAAATTCCTAAAAGAGTCCCTAGCCCTATTTGTACTTAGGGTAAGAGATTGGTCCCAGATTTAGTGAGAGAAACAGTAGGAAGGACTCTGAAATACTGGATACTGAAAACGACATGCTGTTCTCAGAGAAGGCTGGGAAAGCAAAGTCAAATGAGAAGACCACCAACTAGCCAACTGTTGAAGTCCCTGGGCCACATTTGCTGCACCCCAGCCACCTGCATTGCTTGTCAGCATGAAACGTGTGTGGTCAGAGCAGGATGCAGGACAGGGCACGCCTGCTTTTCAAGATATCATCCTGACAAGATGGATTGCAGTGATGCGCATGGTGCCTCCTGTCAGAGGCAACCTAGAATTCAAGAGGAGCTATGAAAAGGCAGACCTTAGTAATGTGAGGTCAAAGAACTGCTGTGGACATTGAGAACTTCTAGACAGGGGCTATGCACTGTGGTTGCTGTTTCAAGGTCCACAAGCGCCCCTGAACAGGCAAAGGCTGAGAGAAGCTGTCCCCTTCCTCTACAAAGGCTGGCTACCATTGTCCAACCTCAATGGTTATGGCCAACCTGTCTGTGGGAACTCTAGGCTCCTTGTCCTCTGTGAGTGATTCCTTGTCCTCCCCTTGCAGAAGAAATGATCCGGATAAAAATGCTGACACTACAAGCTAACCTCTCTACCTTGTAATGTAGGTGAAATACTGAATAAAAAGCTTTCTACCACATTTCTGATGAAGACATATGATAGACGACTTGGCCAAGAGGAATGGGATTAACTTACTTCTGCAGAAAAGCATATAGCATTCAGAATAGTCAAGAGTCCTCAACATACTTGGTAAGCTGAAAATCCCGTATTTAACAGAATAGGGTTAACAGGGTTTAACAGAAGTGCTTGCTTGGGAATCCAAGCAAAAGTTCAAGTTCTCACTGTGTACGCAGTAGACAATAGTCCAATTGATATCTATTACCAACTCACTCTAAAAAAAGTATACACTACAAAACCATCTCACTGCTTGCAGCAAATGAGCTTGAATGATTTCCTAGTAATAGGCCACCACCTTGCACTGTTAAAATGTGAGGTTTCACAGTATAAAAAAGTACTTCACAGAAAGGAAATGCAGCTAATATAGAAAATGCAGTCTTGATGTGTTTACAGTCATTTTTTATGAGGCAATATTTTTTGGAAAGCAAGAACAATAGAAATTAAAGCAGCCAGTGAGAAATGTATAGAGTTATAGGCCTCAATTCAGTGCAAAACCAGACTAAGAGCTTACGTAAGTAAATGTTTGTTCTGAATAGAGAACCACCTGAATTAAAAGTAAAAACACCTATGTGAAGTGATGGAGACTCCCACAATATCTAAATCCTCCACATATATCATCAACCTTTTCAGTACACTCCAGAATGGACCCTTTGTAAAGGCAAAAGAAACCAGTACAGGAAATCACTCCATACAGCACAAGATATACATAAAGTACCAAAATGTACACACATTCAAGTTTAAGTTAGAAAAGGCGGAGCTGCATCTTCTGGTGAGAGAGGCCTATGTTATGTTGCTTAATCTCATGTTTAAAATGACCTAAAAATGACAAGAATCAAAGAAAACAGAGCATTGTGTCTGTTTCCAGAAACTTAAGCTTAAAGCAAGGCATCAAAATTGAGCGGTAGGCACTGTAACAAGACATGACCTTACCTTTTCTCTGTTAGTCTTTGTTACTTCGTTATCTATTTAAAAATTACCATTCAAAGGAAATATTAGGTATCATTCACATTCAAATATTTAAGACTCAGAGATCTGTTTTTTAAATCAACCAGAGTTTTTCATCTCTGAGGTAGATAAAATTTTTAAAAAAATTTTAAATGGAGCTGTCAATGAACACTAACAAGTGCTGGAGCTCCTCTGTTGGCACTGATGCACCCCAGGGAGGAGAGAGCAAGCCCTACACCACTAGCTGAAACACGAGAAATTTGTCTTCTGGTTTAGTAGCTTCTACAGAAAAGCAACACAGAAAAAGCAGAGCCAAGTTTACACTGAAACGGCCTTGGAGAAGAACTTCCATTTCTGCTTCGCAAGCTACTCAGAAAATGGTGGAAACATGCCCAGGTCAGCAAAATCTTCAATGTTGTAGTTGCCAGTACCCTGTGTTGGATCTCCCGGCATCGGCAGCATGTCCTGCATGACAAGGAAAAGCCCAAGTCAAGTGTCACTGGCTAACACGTTACCCAGACACAAACAATTTCCTGTTCATCTTTCCAGTGTAAAACCAGAAAAGGCCAAAGGTTAGATAAATAAGGTGAAAAGCAGACTGGTGCAGGGGCTGGCCTAAGGTGGATGTGCTTCTTAGGTTTTGTTGGAGCGTTTCTGAACAGGAGGTAGGATTTTAGCAGGGTGAAAGTTTTGGATTCCTCCTCTGAGTAAGGTACATTTGAGCTGCCCCGTATTCCTCCCAGGCTGAAACAAATCCCCTTGGAATGGGTAGCTACACATGCAGAAAAGAAAACACTCTGGCTTCAGCACATGGGAAGTACGCAACATCTCACACCTGAACCCTAGAGAAAGGGGGTCTTACTATGTCAGCATGCCTTTGGGGAGGGTCTCACCCTCCCCCCCCCCCCGCCGCCCTTCCGGAGGGCTCGCACCCCCCCCCCCCCCAGCACTCTGTAAGTGGACACATTACTACTACTCTTTGTCCTCTGAGGAGCACTAAAGACTGGACATCAACCCCAGCTACCAAGATGCCCAAGCAGTCCTCATGTATGTACAAAGGCAGAGGAGATGGCAGGAACTTCTCAGGAGAAATGGGATTTCATGGTAACAGCTCCCACGTGTCTTGAGCCAAGTGAGGTCCCTGCACGAGGTTTCAAAAAAATACTCAACCTTTCCTCTCAGCTGGAGACCGAAGCCACAGAAAAAAGATCTCCCTTGCTGAGAAAACCAGAGTTTACACTTGCTTTTCCTGTCAGTCCTTACCATAATAAGCTCTTACTGCAAATCCAAGTTTTGCCAGCGATGGCTCATTATCCTTAGCATAAAGCAAAACCTAAAGAGCAAATAAGAAAGCCCACAGGATCTGCTCTGTGAAGGAATAATCACTGAAAGCTGCTGTCTACTAAGTCAGACTTCCTTTTCCGACCAAAACATGCATTTATTTTGTGTTTTCCTCCATTCCTCCCCAGCCAAGGGGAAGCTGTAGCTGCCCCCACCTGTTTAAATGTCTATCTCTCTGAAGGCACTTCTGCTGCTGGGGCCTCTGGGGCAAGGTCTCCTCAGGTACAGATTTGGCTCAGTAGCTCCCTTCTCAAGTCTGCCACTCTCCTTACATCTACTAACCCAGGGCTGGCTTCAGGCACAAACAGTCCAAGAAGCTTCTCAGAAGCCTTTGAATTGAGCCCATCCAAGTTATTTGTCACATCCAGCCATTATCCTAATTCCCTCCAAATGCACAGTTGCCTCCAAGAGCTCTGCAGGTGAGCCCAGTTCTCCCTTTCTCCCTTGGCCCTCCTTCCCACTAATTTCATAAGATGTTTGCTGGGAAACAACACTTGGCTGAGGCACAAGTGAGACACTGCTTGGAGCCCCATGTCTCTGTGGGCCACTGAGCCACACTGCCATGGGCTCCACTGGAATTACCCTGAACATGCTTTTGGGTTAAAGTACATGCAAAGCAATTAAACTTTGCTTACAGACAGAGATGCAACAGATTAATCTTGCCTGGGCCATGGGATAAAAGCAAGAACGGGTATTATTCCAGTTGTATTGATGTTATTTGCTCCTGTGTAAAGCAATGGTTGATTCACACAGGGTTATTTTCAGGCTCTGAAAATAATTCTCTTCTGCAGTGTTCCTGCAAGCAACTGAGCACGAGCCTGATCTTGTAGGTGAATTTACTTTCTAAAAGATAATGAGGTGCTCCACTTCTAAACCTTGCTTGGGGCTTGAACTGTCTTTTCTGCATTTATCTGCATTGTTTTGTTGCAAACTGCCTTCCTGATCTGATTTAAAAACAAGTTATACGAGGACAGAGACCTTACTATTTAACTTAAAAAGTCCCACCCCATCTGTAATGAAGGCCCAAAATGATACTTAATATTACAACTTTAGGTAGTTGAAGAGGATTGTTTACCAGCTATCTGATACCTGACCGGGTTTAACCTTAAAAAATTATCAGCCATTATCTTCTGTGCAGCATCAGACTCCTTTCCTACTTGAATTATCAAAGGGAATTACACTGCTGTCAAACTGGATTTGACTGAGATTTTAGAGGCCAGCCCCAGGATAAGAAAGACACTCTGTTTGGGACTATCTAATGGCTCCTCTGCAAAACCTGTAAGCCCTAAGTACAGGGTATAAAGAGCAGGGAAGACAGGACCTGAAATCAGCAAAGATGCTGTTCTTTGGCAGAAAACAAACCCATCTCAGTTGTAGCTAACACCAACTAGTAGCAGCGCAGACCCACGGCAAGGAGGTAATAGCTCCAAGCCCTGCTAGCACCCCGGTCATTGAGGGCCATGGTTCCTCAGCCCAGTGGTGGGAAGCTCTCAGAGGGTCTTGGAGCTTGCTGAACAATCCTCACCTGGAACACCTCAGTCTGACTGGGCTGTGGGTGTGCATGCTGGTCACCACTCTGCTGGTTGTGATGTTGGCTCTGCCACTGCGACCAGACTTCAGAAGGTCTCCCCTGGAACTGGCCGCTGCTCTGGCCACCTTCAGCTGGCCAGGGGAAGAAAGAGCAGAAGTCAGAGAGTAGCTCCTTCAAAACGCCTGCCTTTGAAGCCTCATCCATCAGTGCCTGTGTTTGCAAATGACTCACAGAAAAAAAACCCCTGAGTGACACCCTGTCCCTGCAGGGTGGAAGCCAAAGGGAGTTTCAGCCCTGATTGTAGGGTGGGGGCCAGCCCCAGAGCAAAGCCCACTGCCACGGCCTCACAGACATGGCAGGTGAACTGCTTACAGCAAAATGAACAGTGACACCATACACCAGGCACTGGAAGACAATTTTCAAGCATTCCCCCACTGCTTTTTAATCACTAATAGGGAATATTTGCCATTTTCCTTAAAAAAAAATCAAACTGCATCCTCTGAATGCTCTTTATCTTTAAAAGACTAATTCTCATAGAGCAGTGGGTACAGTCACCTACTCATCTAAGAAGCCTGTAAGCAGATGTAGGACTTTGTAAGCAGATAAGATCAACAGACAACAGCCTTGCTGTCCTAAATGCAGACACTGCTCTATTAAATGCAAAGTGACTTTGCTGGACTATCTTTCCTCCAACATCACAGCTGAAAAAAGATTTATTTAATGTGCAGTTTACAGCAAATTATCATCCTGTTCATATGGTGATAGTTTCTTAAAAGCCTGAGGCCATTTAAATTTCACAGCTAGGTTTTACAGTAAATAGACTTAAAATAATGATTTCTGGGAGATGGATTTCTTCTAAATAGTCTACCAGAAAAAAAACCATGATGCCCCACACATTAATTGGGTCATCTTTTACACATACGCTTTTCATGAGTACAGTCACAAATCACACTGAAGCTGGACTCATTTTACCCTGTTTTTCTACAGATTGCTCCCAGACGTATACATTTTTTGGACAACTTTCCTTCAGTTTTTACAACGTCTCCTTCTAAGAAATAGCATCTTAGAAAGCTTGCCACCAGGCTTATGATTTTCCTCCAAATATTTTCTCCTTTTTTTTTTTCTATAGAACTACTCCCACTGTGTTTTGCCCATTTTCCTCTCACTGCAGAGAACCAAGCTGAGTAGATCTGGTTCTCCCCAGCTACCAGTGACCTCCGCCAAGGGTGCCAAATTTCCTGTGCCAAACTTCCACACACGTGTTATGTCAGGTCTCCAATAACCAAACGGTCATGTCAAATCAGTCACTGCTCAGAGTCATGGCTTCAGAGAGTACATAAACATGTCCCTAATGCAGACCTTTTGGCTTCCAGCTAAGTCATGCAAAGCAGCTAAAGTGACCATTTTCCAGGAAAGCAAACAGGCTGTAGTGACGTGTTTCTATCACGTTTGAAGGAGATAATCACAGCTCCTCCCTTACTGACATTACCACAACCAATAACTCAGCTGACTCAGAAACCTTGCAGCCATTTTATAGGACAAAACAAAATTCATCTACATTACTCTTGGAAAGAAAGTTGTCAGAGTGGTGTTGTTTTGTTGTTGTGGGGTTTTTTCTTCTTTTTTTTTCTCAGAACAATGCACTGAGATTAATTCAGTGAAGCAAATGCTTTTTTTCAGCAACATGGTTACTGCCAGCCAGAGGTTCAAGACATTTGTCTCTGTGAAGGCTGTTATTAATAGCATCCAAACTGATGTAGGTCAGGAAATGTTTCTCATTAGGTGAAAGGGTTCTTGCCAAGTAGCTTAGGCCTGAAATGCAAGGCTGTCTCATAAACAAACGTGCAAAGCCTGGTGGAAATGAAGGCATGGATAAGCTCTGTGGGAAGAGCTCTGTTTCAATGCACTTTTTCCAGGCAAGGCAGCACAGGTCTGTGCTCGGTGAGGCTGATCTGCAACAGATCTGCACCAATTTCATCCTCAGGGGACAAGAGAGAAACAAGAGATGTCAGCACACTGCTACCTATGCTTTTTAGAATTGCACATTGTCAACAGCCAGCAACATTTTTCACAGACTCAACATGTTCATCACTGACGGATCTATAATGTTTTTTACTCTTGAATATTATTCTGCTAGTGAAGCGCAGAGGTCACCCACTAGGTCACACTCTGAAAACCACTAAATTAGCACATAATAAGAAAATAAAGCCATTTAAAAGCACGGCATCTACTTTGATTAGGTTAGTGGCAGCAGGGGTACAAAAAAATCCTGTATCCAGCCAAGCTTCAACAAGCCAACTGTGGGCAAGAGGACTCACCAATGCAGTTAGGGAAGCTGAAAAATGAAAATAATGTGAATTTGTGCCATTTAAGTGTTCTCCTGAGAAGTAAAAAGAAATCCAACCTGCTGACCACAATTTAGGATAATGTGTACTAGTGATCTTTTGAATCTTTCATGGCACCATTTACTGAAAACAAAAAAGTTCTCTCATACCATTAAAATGCCACAATACTCTGAAGTGTGTTGGATGTGGAGGAGATGCATCATGGCAGAAAGAGGTTATTTCTGCCCACTGTGCTCAACTGGAGAAAGCTAAACCCTTTGACCACCTGGGCTTCCCCATCGACCCACCAAAAGAACAGGCTGGAGGATTTTTAATGAAGGTAATGCTGGAGAACTTCATTTTTATGTGCATTTCTGTGTTATGTCATCTAAAACTCACCAAATCCTGCACTTCGGTTTGCTAAGCTGGAGTAGGCATTCCCACTTGGAGAAGAGGTGGCTGGGCTGGAGAGGGGGCTGTAAGATGATGGATCAGCTGGGTAGGTGTGACTTGTTCCAATGCCAAAGGGAGATGACTGAGCCTTGCCAGACTGAGATGGAATTTGCTGAGGAGAAAGGAGTAAAAGAAGGAATGAGTTTTATTCTTGAGGAACAGCACAGCAGACACAGTTTTTAGCAATGTAAAGACTAAGTAAACTCTGCAGATGGAAACAGGCACGTTATTCCTGTCTCAGCCATATTTCATTCCTATCAAAGCCAACTTACTGCTGAATAAGGAACACAAGAGACTATAAACCAACGTTTACAGGTCTCTTGCTGACTAGCTTGCACGTACTCAGTATCAGAGCTATTTGGAAAAGCACAATTTCTTTCACCTCTATTACAAGGACTAATCTCAAGCTGAACAGGCATAAAGAATTCACCTTTATTTGCCACGTGTTTTGATTTTGCAGCGCCACAGTAAAATCATGGTTATCTGAATGTCTTGCAGAATAAATGCAGTTCTCAGATGACCAGAGTTTCCAGTGCTTGGGAGAAAATGGCCAAAGAAGTTTCACAGCTAATGAGCTGTTTTCTCTCCCTGCTTAGGAAGTATGGGCAGCAAAATTACTCTGCCTTGTAAAGGGCTTGGGGGAGGGTGTGAACCACCTGCCCTGTGAGGAGGGAAGGAACATTCTAACTTCAACTGGGCAGCAGAATAAATTCAAGGGTATTAAAAACCAACTTGCTGTCATTTTCATCTACATAATGGCTTCATCATAGGACCTCCAAGAATGTTATGTAAATGATTAAACACTGCAGACTGCTTTGAAACATACACTGAGACTAAGGGAGGTGAAGTGTCTCATCCAAAGTCCTGTGCTACAGCAACGGATAATGCTACAGATAGAATCTGCTTATAAACCATTTCCCACAACACGAACAAATCCAGCAGTTCCAAGAAAAATTCCTTGCCTAGCCAGTTCCACAAATAGAAATTAAAGGTGATTACATCTCTGGATACTTGTAACGATGTGCACTGTTATTGGCAATCAACGCACTCCAGTGATGCTATTCGCTTGGACAAACGGAGGGGAGCTGGGGGAGGAAAACAGATCCCAACAGGCGTATTACATGATGAAGATGCTATTAAGCCTTCAGCTCAGTTCCAAGCTAAGAAATCTTACATTTCTAAAGGCTTCCACAACGGCAATGAGAGCATGATATGTCATTTCTGCAAGGCTTAACTCTATTTTACTTTATTTATGATTGATGGATGAATGAACTCCAATTTCCCTTCAGTCACATACAAACTCTGTTGACTTGGACAGAATTGGACAGTAAGAAGGATGAGTAATTTTTTTAGTCAAATTCAGCATACTCCATATTGTTCAAAAAAACCCCAAAGGTCAGTGTTACAACTGGATTTCATTAAACAGGTGTGACAGACTAACCATGGCACACTGAGGGCTGGGAAGAATCAGTGATTAATGTGGAAATAATTCAGTTATTACTGAATTCATTTCATACTGAAAAATTATTCAGTGTCCATCCCAACATGCCATTCTTGTCTACTGAACAATGGAAAGTCAAGAGTGATTAAGAGTAGCATTAATGATAGCTCAAGCATGATTATTTCATAATCTTTGTCTTTAACAGAGTTTCAAACCAGTTTTTCTTCTTGTTACACAGAAGAAGTAGTAATTCTGGGCTAACATTGTCGAGGGCAGGGCACCTCACAGAGGGACGTGCCATTTCCTCCAGCACAGGACACAGTGTGAACTACACCAGGCAGTGCCAAGGGAGGGGCAATGGGCCAAGCTGCCTCTGCTCTGAACTCATGCCTGGATTTGTGTGTGCCCTTGTCTGCTAACTCTGCTAACTGTGGGTAACACTGCTGGGTGCAAGGTCTTGGTCCAAGAAAGATTTAATGCACAGGCTTCATACCAAAGCCTAACAGCTGTCCTCTTTTCTTTCATTCTGTCCACACGTAAAAATAAGTGCAGAACTGAGACCTTCCACTGGGATTTATGTCAGCATAGCAGCTGCCACTATTATGAACACTGCTACAAACCAAATGCAGTGATGTACAGGGCAGCTGCCTCAATCTGTTAGAACCTGCCAAGGAACAGAAGTGGGAGAACTCTTTCTCTCCGGTCACAAATGCTAATGACAAAATATATTTAATCCCATTATAAATGGTGTTTAGGGTTTACTCGTTCTGTTGTAAAGAGCAAAGAGATTGCAAATCTTTAACGACCATGAAAATAAAACACCTTTAGTCAATACCTGTCCTGGAAATGGTGGACGATTTCCTGTCCAGGCAACCTGACTCTGATTTAGCTGGCGAGATATCTGGGTTAGGTTCTGGCCTGTTGATGAAGAAGACTGGATGTCGTTCACACCAGGCACGTGTACCACAGATGAACTGAAGGAAGAGAAACAGTGCCCCGTTTGTAGGATATATTCCTGATGCACAAATGGTATTCCAGATACAGAAATTTTGGTAATCACATTAAAACTAATTGCTCGATCTGTCTTAATAGAAAATTACTTTAAACCGTTGTTATAGGATGAAATACCTTGGCATTCTAAAGTATCACTTCAAACAGACACAGAGGGCAAAATTATTTTGAATTACAATTCTGTATCTCTTTGAAGGGGCTTGCAAGAATGAAATGAGTCTAGCACACAGTGCATAAACACTTAGCTCCATAGTAGTTGAGTGTTTAAAGCAGTAAAAACACCTGCTTGCAGAGAGTATTCAAGCAGGTACTTAATTTGAAATTTGTGCTTAAAATCAACAGTACTTAAGCATTTGCTTAAATGTCACCCTAAATGAAAATGCATGAAAAGATGATACTTGTAAGTACTTCTTTATTTCTTTCCTGCCTGGGAAATGAAGAAGTGTGTTTTATATATTAACAATTGGAGCTTTTAATTCCTATTTGCACCAACTGATGCTAAAAAAGAGCATGCAGTTTTACACCCAGCCAAAAGAATAATGAAGGAAAACGCTTAAACTAATGTAATCGCTTTGGAATTTTAAGGAAAAAAAGTATTTCCAAAGGAACTTGTTTATGTTAGCTGTTTTCCCATTACTGAATTTTATCACAGAGAAATTTCCCTGAAATTTCTAATAGACAGGAAATTTTAATGAAGAACTGCTCCACTTTACCATTTTATTCTCATAGAAATCTAGAATAATAATATATATAACAATACAGATATTGAATTCACATAACCACACATTGTGAATGTGCTTTTATATGTTTGTATATATAAAAATAGTCAATTATTATTTTATATATAAATATATAAGTGAAGACAGAACATGTAAAAATGCTTCTGTTCACCAACTGAAACAGCTTGCTCTTTTCTCCAGTCCCTTCCCTATTGTCTATTTTCACAATCATTTTACAGAGAAAGAGGTGAGCAGATTGGGAAAAGAAGCAAACAATGGTGAGCAGAGAGGATGCAGGATTCTAAATCCTCTGAGAAGACTAACAAAGTCCCTCCCAGAGTGGAAAGAAAATGTGGCAAGCATTTGAACACAGGAGTTGTTACTCCATTTTTCTTATGCTGCCTAAAAGCAAAGCGTGTAGTAGGAATTCTTCGTAGAGTTTGTTTTCTATTTTTTAAATTTTAATTTTTTCACTACCACAGGGTCTCCAAAGAGGGAAATGTGACCCAAAGTCCAACTAAATCTGGCTGAACTTGGAAGCACACAACAGCTGCTGGGGAGGGCTGGTCCCACTGTCAAGTCCCTCCTAGATGGACTGGCGAGTCCCATTGTTGAAGGGGCTTGGACTGCATCTAGAATATATACTTTCAAACCAGGAGTCTGCAAAATAGTGCCTAAAGGCTGCCCAGGGTCAATAGCTGAATGGACCAGCCTGGAGAGCATTCAGGGAGAACAGTTCATCAAGGGTGGAAATGCTGGCAGATGTGTCATTGCTTGATGTAATAGCATGGCAGTAGGAAAAAAGCTATAGTTAAACATCAGGAATTAACAAAGGAAACGAACAAAACACATGCCAAACCCCAAGATGGCAAGTCAACCATCCAGGAATACCCAATATCCAATATCTAATTAAAAGGCATTTTAATTTACTCATATCCTCCCCAAGTTATTCTTGGTTTTAAGTTGACAAAATACACGCACAGGGATTTTATTTCTCCCCACTGAGATGATTAACAATTACAACTTTAAGAACACATTGGTTTAAATAAAATTATTGTTTGCAGATGTTTTCTAATTCCTGGAACTGACAGGCTCTGAATGGCTGTTCCTTCACTTTCACAACCTTAGTTTGCCTAAAACAGGAGAATGAAACTCCAGTATGACAGTCCCAGAAGGTGATACAAAAGGCACCAAGGTGAATATAACCACTGTTACCACACTCTCAAGAAGTGAATGGAGACGAAGGCAAACTCTGAAACTTCAGGTTAGCCAAATCTGTATTTCCAGGTGGCTCTCAATGACACACACTTGGAATAACTCAAAAATGCTTCAGAAAATGCCAGACCTTATGTGCACTTGGAAGCTGCCTTAAAAAAACATCCATGCCAGTGTCTCAGCCCTCACCAGTGTCTACAGATGAAGCATTCCTCTGTTCCTTTTAGTAAGGTGTCCACACTGATGCCCTTCAAGCCAGCCTGCAGAAGTACTGACAGCTCTGTCTTTGCACCTTCCTAGCTCGGTTGAATGTTCCTCAGATCTCTGAGCCTGCTTCATGACCCCTCAGATTTATTTGCCTTTGTGATGTTACTGCTCCTCAGCTTTTATTCCATTTACATCATCACAGCAACTAGTATTTACTTATCAGTCACTATTTTTAACAGAGATATCCAAGTCATCTCAGCTTATTATAGGTCTAGCCAAAGTGCTGAGACATTGCAGGAGTAAAGTATACACAAAGCAAAGTTCATTCGTGTAAAGAAAGCATCTTTCTTTGCATTGTAGATTGCTTTTGTTTCCATTAGATTAAAAGGGAACAGTCTTCAGCTATCAGACAGAAGTATCTGGGCTACAGTACCTGAAAGTCTTTCCTGAATGTCCTGGCTGAAATGGGCTTCCCTGTGAGTAAAGCTGCTGGTTTCCTGCTGTGGATGCTGAGGCCATCATCTTTTTATCTGCTACAAAAGAATAACAAATCATGGAAAGATAAGAGTTTAGGGGATGAGAAAATGAAGGCAAAATTATTGAATGAGAAGTGCTATGTATATGCGCAGCAGGGATTTTTCTTTCCTGCTAAAAGCTTTATGAAGACACCCTGTGGAACACATCAGGACTGACACAAAGTGTTATATGACAATTCAGTATGAAACTAGAGGCACAGCTGGTTTGTGTCTACTTCATACCCTCTTCCCAAGAGGTACCTTGTTCAAGCTATTGTTTGCATGGAACATACCAGTGGTACATGCGCTCCGGCTACGGAGCCCTGGCCTCCTCTGTGCTCACTGGGAGCTGCTCCTGAACATGGAGGCAGGAGAAGGAATGGGAGAGAGAGTGGCGGAGGCATGTGGTGGGTGCACGAGTCACAGCTGCAGACTGCAAAGAGAACAGGAGTTTTCTAGGAGAAAGATTGGAGAGTCTGCCTGGGAAAATGAAACAAGCCTGGTCTGAGGCACGTGCACCTTTGTGGCCTCCCTGGGGATGGTTGCAGGGCAAGGGTATGTTTCTGGCTGCAGAAGAAGCCCTCCAGGGCGGCTGCTGTTATGCAGCCTCTTTGTACTGAGGTAGCAGCTGAGGGCCCACACCTCACTGGGTTAAATGTCCCAAGGAAAAGTGTCTAAGAGCCCCTGTCCTAACCAGCTGACAGCCTGTTTCTCTCCAGGACAGCCGGGGAGGAGTACCCGACTCTCCCAGGCAGCCTGGTGGCATGCCTGCAGATCTCACGGTGAGCACCTCCAAGCCTGGGTGATCCCGCAGCCCCTACACCTGCATTTCAGTCCCACAGCTGGCTGGAGACAGTCTGCTTCTGTGTCTGCAAGACTTGGGCACTTGAGCTGTGGCAAGGCAAAACACTGGTCTCTTATGGATTCTGCTGTCCTATATGTGGCTTGAGGGAGCCATGAAACAGGATGCAAGCATCCCGGTGGGGTGCAAAGCAGATTAGCATAGTGAGTAACACACTCATGGAGATGCCATTAACTTTTATAGTCTACTCTTAATGTGGCAACTGGAGATCAAGCTCTAATTGAATGAAACGAGACTGGGTGAACAGTGCCATTTGGTCCTTTAATTTTCTGGCATCACATTATTCCAAAGCCCAAGGAAACCTCACTTTACTTAAAATAATTTAAAGGCCTGCTCCACCACTATTTATTCACTTTCCACCTCTTCCCTTACTACTTCCAAGTGCGTAACACCACACAACTCACTGACGGATGGCAATCATCTGTTGCTATGCCCCTCTGACAGGCCTGGAAATCAAGTCTGCCTTCTCTTTTTCCCCTTTGCTCTTTTCAAATTTCCACTTGTTTCACAAGATGTTCTCCTGGATGAAAGGCCCACTCAACTCACCAGTAACAGAAATATTTTTTAGTTTTCCCTGTCTTTTGGAGACCCTGTGAGTGTGGCTCACCAAAAGCCTCAAACACACAACAGCTCTTCTCTGTTACCTACATTCTTCTTACATAGTGTTCCTAACAAGAATCTAAAGCTCACCTTTGTGAAGGAAAAAGTCACCTTAAATTGCCTCACAGGAGCCTCGGAGAAGTACTACTTATGGCACTGATGCAAGCTAGCATTGTTTTTCCTCTGTAATGTAGACATTTGTAGAAATTCTTCACTGGTTACATATTGCGCAAGAGAGACACTTGGTCTGGGCTGCAAACCTATGCTCTCATATTAAAAAACAAGGAGAAATGGAGACAAGGTTCTGCAGTAGGAAGACTTGAGAATGGGTTGGGATATTTCTGAGAAGGACAGATGATTCTGCCTTTGCTTGCATTAATGTCACTCTTGCATGAGATGTCCCATTTCCTAAGGCCACCCTTTACAGCGATACCAAATTCTCAGGGTTGGAAAAGACTGAGCCAAAATCCTGCGAGTACTTCAGATATTTGAGAACAACTCATCAGCAAAACTGAGAGTACCCTAAATGAACTGGAATTCCTCAAGTGGACCAGAGTTGCCATGGCAGCTACCAGGGTCTGTGCCACAGGATGAGGCCAAAAAGAAAGGGAACAGCTAAACTGAATGAATGGGTGAATCCAGGCTTTCTCTCCCTGCTTTTGTTTTTTAACTATGTGTGGCTACTGCATGCAATTATGGCAACAATCTCCAACCTGTATTTTTACAGAACAGAACAGGGAATGAGACTGGCTATCAACATAATGCAAATGTCTTGCAGGCAGCATGCAGGTTTGTCAATATTGGTTTTGGACTGCGTATCTCATCTCTAACTGTGAACCATCTCTTTTTATTATTCAGAGGTGACCTTGATCACAGCTCCCATGAGAAATTCACACAGGGTAAATATCCCAAAAAAAGCATAGCCTGTAAATTGATAAGAATGAAATGAGTAATGGCATTTCCAAGAACATATTCTCCCAGCTACCTCACAGCTTGATAGACCCTTAACCCTAACCCCTCCCCACAAACACTTGACAGCTCTCTGAAAAAGAGCCAATCAGGCAGCCTAAAACCAAGATGTTCTGGCTTGGGAAAACATATTCTGATGTTTAGGGTTGGAGTCTTGCTACCTTCTAATGGACCCCTTTTATGGCCTCAGCTGTTGACTTCACTGTTAGAGTAGACAGACAAGGATGAACAGGAATAACAGAGAAGTCTTAGCAACAGGAGGACAGAATATCAAGCCTATCCTGCAGTTACAATGCCTTCTCCATGTGAAAAGGCCAGACATCAGAAACCAATGCAGTGAAGTCATCTCCCAGCACCCCTGGAGTCAATCCCTGTGGGTTGTTTCCTTCATGTACTGTGTGACACTTCCACATTGATTTATTTAGAAGAAATGTAAAAACTTCTCTTTTTCAGTAAAGGATGGTTAAGAACAATAAACGAGTTCTTCCACAAGCAGTGGAATTAATGAGCCTGATTTCCTACAGATAGATTTTGTAGGCTGGGACTAGTTTGAGTTAGCTACTTCTGCGTGCCTGACAAGTTGGCTGCTACCTCTTTGAACAGGGCTGGGAAGTCCTTTATCAAGGGCACTCAGTAAGGACTTTATCCTCACTAATTCTCATGAAATATGGACTATACTATTTCTGAGATTCCTATTGCTCTTACAAGAACTTGCCAACTAGTTCAAAAGTTGTGGGAAGAGGAGCAGGGACTCACCGACAGGCAGTATGACTGGAGATGCCTCAAATACACCAGAAAATAAGTATATTATTACACTTCAAAGTAGCACGTCTTTGAAAGCAACAGTGCAAAAGCTGGTGGTATGATAAAAAACTGCAAGCTTGTCTTAAGACCACATGGTAACTTCCTTAACCGATGTGTATTTAGAGAGAGGAACCCACATCTGCTGTTCAGAAAAGAAAATATATATATACTTAGAAACCGCAGTTTCTGCTCAGTAAGTTTAGTATTTACAAACACTGCTTAAGGTGCCTCTGTGAAATGAAAAGAGAATCAAAAATAGGCTGCTGTCTGTGGTGACACAAAAGCTGTCCTTCCCTCCTTGACATTACTCCTCATTATCTTTAGGGGAAATATCAGCTACAGGCATATTCTAGGAAACATTCTGAAGACTGACGTTGCTTGGAAACTTCTCTGCCATGTTGTAGTTTCTCTTCATTCTCTCAAAGCTGTGCTTTACAGCATGTAACCAAGCTTAATATAGTATTAAACTTCAGAGACATTCACTTACAAGCAGTTATTCCAGCAAACATCTCAGCAAATCGAGGATCTCTCTCTTGGGAGAAGATAGCATCAGGCTTCTCCACAGACTTGCCACCTTCATGAACGTTAGCTGGTATACTTGGAACAGGCACCTGTTGAAATACACAGAGGAAGGTAATTCCCTCCATCATATTTGAAAAAGAAATTCAGAGACAGCCAAAATGTATTTTTAATTCTGCCAAAATCAGCTATTGATTTACATTTTAAAAGATCAGAGGCACAGAAATAAAAACTTGAGAAATTTCACCTGAGATAAGTCATAGGATGACAGCCCATCTCTTTGATGTACTTCAAGTTCTGCTTGCTGCTGCTGAAGTTGTCTGCAGAGGAGACAAAATGACTTTGTTACAAAACCCAATTAAGATACAAAAAGGATACATGGTCTCCCCTATTTTGTAATACAGAAACATCTCTCAGATGATTTAGCAAATCCTTTTTTCTGAGATTCATGTGTTTTCAAAGCTGTCTTACCGAGAAAGCTTGCACCATAGGAATGTAACAGGGCACATGAACACATTTGCTGTAATAGCACAGAAATGTAGATGGGTAGTTAGTAGGGAATTCTTAAATCGTTTATAAGGAGACTGCATTCCATCCTCCACTAAGATACCAGGAACATCTTCCTCACATCAACAATGAATATACTAAACTCCTTCACTGTTCCTACTGAAGTAAATGGGAAACCTCCACCAACAATAATGCAGAATTATGCCAGTCAGTAAGAAAAAGTGACCAAAGCTCTGTCTGAAGTATGTCAGACCAAAGGGAACAACCTGCTGAGCTAGAAAGAACTGCAAATAAATCCTTCATTGTAATAAAACCTGTTTAATATGCTTTGATTCTACTCTCCTCAGGATCCAAGCCCAGATACTATTAATTTTTGAAAGCTTTCAAGGCACTGAATGTCCAGAAATAGCTTGTGCTTCTATAGAAAATCAAGACATTACATCAAATCAATTTGTTATAACAAATGCTACAGTAAAAACAAGTCTCCTTTTCATGCTAATCAGAATGCACAAAAATTACCTATTGTTTCAATGAGACAAAACCCACCAAAAGTAATAGCTTTAATGCAATCCTGTAAATTTAAGAAAAATTAAAAGAGCAGCAGTAATAGAATACTTCAGAAAAAACTGCTGGAGCTAAGAAATACTAGAAGTCATATGCCAGAATGAAGAAATTTTAGAATGAATGAGATTTTAGTGTTGAAAACTCTGTAGATCCTTGAAATACACTTGATCTATGTTTAGTGTTAGGCACTCTTACTTAACTACCACAAACAGCCAATATCAACAGATAAAATCACTGGAAGTTATGAGAATTAACTGACAGGTGACCTGTAAGGACAGCACACAAGTGGTGATAAGTCAGACAGACACATTCTACTCGTGCAAATACTGCCTAGTTATAAAAATGTACAGATCTTTTAGATAGTTGTAATATATCTAGCACAGTGATCTCCTGAATCCTTTTCTCCACTTGTTTTTTTTTTTTTAATTCTGAAAGGACACAAATTCAAAGCTCCTAATTTTAAAGAAAACAGAGACAGCTATATTAATTGCTGCCATTGGAAATGTTAAAGTTACTATAACAAAACAACTTCTGCACAAAAAGCCATTGCTTATCAGAAATGAAACCAAATCCTTCTGAAACAAAAGGTCAAAGTGCCATTGGTGCATTTTAGTACCACACAGGGCACTCAACCAGTCTCTAGGGTGAAGCCAGGAGCTTGCTGGCATTGCAGCATCTCCAGGAAGACTGCCTGTGTAATGACAAAAGTCCTCAGCAGCTGCAAAATGATCTACATGTTTTGCACCTTCCACTGACAGTTGCTTTCTGTCTCTTGGTCACAATTAGCAAAATTCCTTCTTAGTAAAAATCCTTCCTGAGGATGCACAGGCAGCATCCTACCTCTGTGAGGCTCTTTGCTCAGTTGGCAAAGAAGGGATAAACACCCCCCCAATTGCACCAAAGCTCAGAGATTACAATATGTAGATTACAACTTGGACTGACAAGAAAGTAAATTTGATTCTCACAAATGATACTTGATAGTGGTCACAGTTTCTGGCCGCCTCCTGAAGGAAAAATCATGTTAACAGACAGGAATTAGGCACCACGTGTTTTCCCTCAGAGACACCCTATAAGGTGACAGCCAGTAATAGTGCCATTTTGCAAAACAGAAAGATCATGGTTTGGAAACTCTGGAAAATCAGGATACATTTTTGGCCACAGGCTTAAATTTTAGATTTTTATACAAATCTTCTTTTAAATTTTGAACTAGATAGATTCAAATGCCAAGAGACTGAGAGACAAACTTGCACAAAAAATCAAATGACAAATCAGACACAAAATAATGGGAATGTGAGGGACCATTCAAACAAGCTACTGAAATAAGTTCACAGATTTTTCCATCCATCCCTTGATGCTTTCCATAAGACACATTGCTCAAGCACCAGTTACTAGGCTCCTTGGCAAACTGGACAAAGATCTGTGACCTGCAACAAACAGAAGACTGGAATAGATGGCCAAAAGTCTGCTGCTAGTCTTACAGTGCAAGAACATGTAATACACAGAATCTCTTTTGTGTTATGAGTAGCATGAAAAAAAAGTCAGTCCTCCAGGTCATTCGAGAGCCATGGATTTTGCATATTATCTTAGCCAACAGAAAATTCCTAAAAATTACCTCTGGCATGCAAAGAAATGCACTGTTCACAAGCATAAAATGCATACTATTCCAACAGAACTATAAGAGGTAATTTAATTATGGCAAATCTATGGGGAAGTTTTTCTAAATACCACCCTGTGGACAATAAACACCCATTAAATCCTGTTGTTAACGTGAAAGCTAATTACACTGTTTCATTTGTTTTTATTACCAGGGACTTGGTGCATGTGTCAATAAACAGCACATTAGGTCTCTTCAGTTCTGTATAAAGTATGTTTTCTTGATTCAGCCATATACACAGAAATGAGCCAAACAAAACAGCATACTTACTAGTTATTTGTTTTGTAGGCACATCTAACTTGGTGCTCCTTCACCTTTCTCTATCTTTCATCTCTAATATTCATTAAGCTGCAGTACAATATAAATACCACGTCGTGTTAACAGCACTGAACTTTGGGAACAGCCTCCCAAATCCTTTTCCTATAAAACCCAACTACTCAAGTGTATCTGTGCAAGCCACACTGCACTTAAGATTGAAATGCAAAGCCAGGTTAGCTGTTTCTGCTGTTGTTTGTTGCTACTGTATAAATAGCTCAAATGAAGCTTGAAACCTGAAAGAAACTGTGCAGCAATTCATGGACCAGCTGAGCAGAGAGAGCTGAGTGCTGCTGTTGTGGCTTCTTCAGCCCTTGCCTCCTAACCAGCCCTTCTGACTGAATACATGCAGGTCCCTTCAGTCACTCAAATGCCACATTGCTTTTGTAAAGGTGATACAAAACTATTATTATTATCAGTTATTATCAGTTTGGACCACAAACTACCCTTTGTCTCAATTTCAGTTTTGTATCTTCAAGGAATAAATGAAAGAGATTTCCTGTCTCTACAGAAAACCCAACACAGCAAGTAAGGTATCGTCTGGGTTCACAGAGCACTGCCTGTACTGCAGGAGTCCCTGGCTCACCCACAGCTCCAGTATGAAACTGGGAAAGCACTTGGCTTGAACAAGGAATGGTTCAGCAAATCTGAAGGTTTTGATAGTTAAATCAAATTAACTCCAGTAAATGTATTTGGAGGAGAAGGGAAGATTCTGTGAAAGTTCCTTTGGCACTGGAGAGGATTTCAGCTGAATTAACCTCTCTATGACCACTGAAGTCACCTGTTCCCATTCCAAGCACCAGACTAACCAAAAAAGCATTTGAACTTTAAAATTAACAATTTCTATGGTGGGAGCAACATAATACTACTGTATTCCTACCAGACTACTTTTATGTAATACAGGCACATGTGCTTCCCGTGTCTGGGTTGGACAAAAAGAGAGCAATAAAAGCCTTGGGGCTGCTGTTGTAAAACCCTCTTTCAGAAACTCAGAATCTCCCTCTAGCCTAGACTAGAATCTAGCCTACAGTTTCAAAGTCACCCCTGTAAGGGTCTGGCCTTGAGGGACCACAGAGCCCATAGATGGCACCAGGATCATGAGAAAGCAAGTCTTTAGTACCACTACCACAGGCTGGAATTTTATCAGAATAGTTGATCTCTTTAGTATTTTGTGCCATGAGAATCTGAAACAGAAAGCATCTCTCCCACAGGCATGCAGGGGCTGATTCATCCGGCAGGCTGCCTCCAGCAGGTACCTGGCCAGCTCACGCCGAGGCAAAAATCTTGAGACTCAGGACAGCTGTAAGATTCCTAAATGCACACAGTCCCACGCAGGACTCTGGGGCTCACAAAAATGAAACATTAAAATTTCCACAGAGGTCAGAAAAATATCTTACTTCTGTGTATACACAGATTTTTATGTAGTTTTATCTATCACCGTGACAGATTATTTTATTCAAACGCCGCTCGATGTGTATGTTAAATAAATGCTGATTACAATAATTATTTCTTTTTGGAAATCAAACGGTCCCAACTACAGAGGAAGATTTTGTCAAACAGGGGAACTCTTCAGCTGAACCCAGCACAAATGCTAAACATCAAATGCTTCATTTCTGCAGGAAGTTTCTCTTGGATGACTACACCCAAGTGAAACTGAGAGAAGTTTTCTTTTCTTTTTTTGCAAGGAACTAAGTGAACATTTGAACCTAATGTTTCATTATCCTTCTGCACCAAAAGCAAGTTTGGAAAGTTGACTGTTTGAAGGTCTAGAGGAGTATCTTTAAATAAAAAAGGAAAAAAGAAAAAAACAACAACAAATCAATTAATCTCTCCACAACTGGAACCACCACTGCCCTCTACAGCCTTTTTGCAAAATGCTGCTCAATGACCAATACAAAACGAGCACTCTTTGATTAAAAGATAGAGTCACGTGGAAATGTGGCTTTAAGCTGATTTAAACCTAGAACTTCTGGCTGCGTTGTCTTTTATGATTTCATTACGAATTTTTCCCTGCCTCAAACCTGTATTTTATGGAGCTGGCTAGGTTATCACAGCAACAGTCAAATCAAAACTTGTCTCTGTGCAGAACTGCTTGCAACTGAGCAGTGGAAGGCACCCTGCTTGGTCTCCATGTGAAGGACTTTGCTGGAGCCAGAGCATCTGATGTTCCACAGACCTGTAAAGATGGCCACATACACTGGAGTCAGTGTCAAACATCTAGCCCCAGTAGGAGCTTGAATGAGGGGGTGGAAAAAACCAGCTACCATGATATACAACTCCACAAGGCATCTAGGAAATCAGAAGACAAAACATGACCCTGAAAGTGCAAAAAAAAAATATTCCAGAAACAGGCAGGAACAGCAGTACACTACGGTAGTCCTCTTTAGAAATTTGTCTGAGAAGTGAGAGAGAACAGGGGGAGAAACCAGAAAACATTCTGAATAATGTATCCATTCTACTATTCAAAAACAGACATATAATGGGTTGTTTCTTGCCATAAGACCAGAACATTTTCTACATGACAGGAAAGAGGGAACATCCTCTGTCAAAGTAGCAGCAGGCAACTTATATATTAGGTCAACATTGCTGGGTTGTTACTCAAATGTAGCAAGAGGGGTAACAAGAGGCAGAAGCTGGCACAGTCCCACTCATCACAGCGAGTGCTGCGATGCCAAGCTGAACAGTATAGTGGAGGCTCGGAAAAAACATTCCCAGAGTCAACACAAGTCTACAAGCCCCACTTTTTGATCTGTGGACTCTTGGGAACAAAACACAATTAAGCCAGTCTGGGATAGATTTCAGAAGTCGATTTTATTTTGTAGGCCTGTTTTTGCATATACAAATGATTTGAAGAAGCAACATAGGACAGCGGAAATGTCCTATCTGGAAATATCCAGATTGATGCACAGTGCAGACAGGGAGATATTTAGCTGTCTGACTGCAAGAGACACATTTGCTTGTTTTCAATGGCCTTAACTATTCAGTTGTTCAAACCTGACTTTTTGGGTATACAGAAAATAACCCAGCACCCAGAGACACTTACTAGCTTTCTGACTTCAAATGCCAAAGCTCCAGGGGTTTGGTTTTGCAAGTGGAGCTCCCAGCACACATCTCCACTAGCAGACCCCTTGTTCAGCATTTCCATTAAACAGTCTAACAGGTTTGAGATCTTAAAACCAGTAATTTCCTCTGAACTAAAAACCTCAGAAAAAAAACCCCAACTTTGTTTAGACCAGAAGCAGATTTTCTTTTAGAAATAGATTAAGTTTATATTGGAAACAAGAAATTTTCATAAAAAAACCTCCACACTATAAAGCAATGGCTTTATCAAGGCCAGATTAGCTTCTGCAGTTACTGTTTCAGCACTCCAGATGCTCCAAAAGCTTCTCTGCTCAGTTACACAGTGACAAACATTCACTACACTCCCAGGGTGACCTCCTCCTAAGAGGTCTAATAACATATTTTTGAACGTGTTAATTCAAAGGCAGAATGATTTAACTTCCCTCTTAAGATAAGGGGTTGGATCTGTTCCCATACTTGGGGATATTCCACCAGATCTTAATTGTGTCTCAGGAACCTTTCTCATTCAAGCCTACTAGGAAATAATTTCTGGCCTATGAAAGTTGGCAAAGAGCCGAAACAGCTCAAGAAGAAGATGCTCAGGACTATGGAATGGTATGATCACAATGAACATGGACATGCAATTTTCTCTTTGGCTTAGGAATCAGGCTAACCTTCCTCCACTATCAGCACAGCTGGTCTGCTGCTGGAAGCTCTGTGCTAGTTGAAGCCAGCCTGGACTGAGATCAATGGGCTTGTCAAATGACATAATAGATAAGTGACTTTCTCCCCCAAAGCAGCCAGGCCCTGGAAGCATCACAGGATAACGACACACAGAGAAACAGCTATGCTGTGAGATCTCACAGTGCAGAAAACCCTGTTACAAACTGTACTGCTACAGAGAAACAAATGCAGCTAGAGACAGGCTACCAAAAAATCAGAATATGCTTTTAAGCAAATCAAGCAATGCTTAAATTCTTTCAAAACCACACACACAAGCATCTGGGAAGGCACATACTTTACATTAGTGTTGGTGCAGATGATGTATTCAATCTCATCAGAATAGGGGTTCTGAAAGGTGAAGCTGCTGGTTCTGATCAGCATCCACTCCCGGTTTTTGGTACGAAAACGATACATCACAGACAGGACTTGGCCTTTCAGTTTCACAACCTGCAAAGCCATTTGGAAAGGTTAATAAAAGGAGATTGGTACCTGCTGTGCAAATGAATAGTAAAGAGCAGTAACCAATGTCGTGTAAACTTGAATTACAGAAAGCTCTGGACACAGCACGGTGATTCTTAATTTGAAGAGAATAAGCAGAATCCAATTCACATTTGCAGCTATTTCCTTCAGAATGAAACCCACACGCTTTGTTGTATAAAATGCCATTTTCTGGCCTGTCTGTAAGAATATAGACCCAGGACAATCAACAGGTTGTGTTGTTATCCCAACAGGGAAGTTTTACAAAGGTTTTCATTTGGGATGCTTATTGAAAGATTGGACACAAGCCAAACTGAAGATCTTTTAAATGTTTATGTGTAAATCATAAACCAAACACTGCAGCTGAAACAAGAAGAAAAAACATTTTGAGGTTGACTGTCTGCTTTTCAGCTTGGATATCTAGCTATACAATTCATGTATGTGATATACCAAATCACACATCAGCATCAAAATTTAGGATAATAATTAAGAAAGGTGCCTTTTTTAAGAAAACATACAGGACAAGACTGTTCCCTCCCCACCCCCCCAATGACTATCTACAATGGCAAAATGGTAACAAGAAACACTGGTTTCTGGCTTTCAAAACAAGAAAAAGTGAGGCAGCCTTTGAACAGAGAGAACACCAATAAGCCACGGTCTATTTCAATAGTAATGAAAAAATTCTTTGCTTGGACAGTTTATTTGTTTATGACTAAGGAGTCAGATGTCTGGCAGTATTCAGTTCAAATTCTGTCTTGGGTAGCTAAAGTCTTGCTGCAGTCAATAGTTGGGCATCAAGTGTAAAGTAAGAAGCAGCCAGCTAAAGAAGTATGCTCAAAACAATACTTGCACAGTGGCACTCTAACTCTATTTGATATGTTTATCTAACAGTCTTGGTTTAAGTCAGAAGAAAACTTCAGCTGGCACTTACCTGGGCTGTGTTTATTTTTTATTGCTTTTCCACCAAGCTATCTCAGGGGTGCCTCAGGGAAAGAATGGGAAGATCCACTGCAAATAAATGCCACATCTTGTTGTGGATTCTTAATCCTTATCCACTGGAATGTGTTTTTTTTATTGGTTGTCTACACCCTATATTCTCTAAAAGTAGAAAACCCAGCTATTTACCCTCTGTCTTTATCGACAAGCAACTGGATTAGGAAAAATGCTCTAATCCCGTTCTTCTCCAAATGTCTGCATTTCATATTCATCAACTGAATACAGGATTAAATGGAAAGAATGCAAACAAAAGGCAAAAAAAAAGCTTTAGCAATGCCCAGGAAAGTTCAAAATAATACTGAGCTAAATGGCTTTTTTTTTTTTTTTTCCAAATGCTTTTGCAGTTTGAGTTCAGTGAGTGACATTCTTTTATCAGCAATTTTCTACTACCACACCCAGGGCAAAAAACACAGAGTTTGTGTAAAAATGTTCAATTTGAATAGCATCCTACTGGATATCAGATAGCTATATTCTGGATCCTTTGATACTAAACTCTATTTGTTGATCTTGGCCTTGAGACTATCTTATTCTGGCCTGATTTTCCCACCCTGATGAATGAATTTATCTTGCCAAGGAAGTAAAAGATTTGAGATGGATACTGGCAATTGACCAAAACCTGCAAACCCTTCCTCCCTCCTCTGCTATGCACCAACCTGGTTCTGATACTGTCAGCAAATTAGAAATGTCCAGTTTTCAGAGAGTTTTAGAAAAAAAAAAAAAAAAAAAAAAAAGACCTTGGAAATCAAGGTTACCTTTTAACGAAAAGATTTCTAAGGCCAAACTAACAATAATAAAACAAACTGCAGTGATCTATTGTCCTGAAGTCTGAATTAAGCAAACACTAATTCTGTAATAATATATAAAGCATGGAGATCAGTGGTGGGAAAATCCTGAACTGTGTTAAAACAGTGCACACAAACAAAAGAGCACAAAAAATTCAAAAGCTAATGTTTAACCTTTACTTTCTTACATTCTTTGGAAACAAAAACCACGTGGTGCATAGCTTAACTGTTTACTTCAGCCTTTTATTGCAGGACTGAAATAACAGCTCCTATCACATTGCTACTGTACTGAATAAAAATACCCCAAAAAAAGGTATTGCCTACTGAAGAAACAGCCTGATATTTTCATAGGCTGGACACAGGTCGACTGAGCAAGAACTTTCACTGCATTTTTTCCTGCTGTTTTTTTGCATGACTGTAAGCAAATCCTGTAGGTCCCTGATCCAGCAAATCACGTATGCACACGCCCAATTGTGAGTAGTGACAGTCGAGTCCACAGCAACTGAGCTCAGGGATACACCAGGAGCTTCCCTCAGCCTGATCTCTCTCAGTGAACACGGGGAGGACCAGGTCATTAACTCCAATGTTAGTTAGCCAGCCCCTGTGAGCCCCAGGCAGCCACTGCAGAGATGCGTGTCTGACTTTACTATCCAGCAGCTCTCTGTCATTCCGACTTGGACAAATTAGTGGAAGCAATCATTTTGGTATTAGTGAAAAACAGCATATGTGTTCTTGCTGCTCTGCTTGTGCCACTGATGCGATCAGGCACACGTTCAGGGAGCTGTACCAGCTGAAAGCTAGTCCCATGCAGAAGCAATTAGTCCCTGAGCTAGCCTACACAGCAAGTCCATCTGTGCTACTATCAGCACAGCAGGAAGGGTGAGGAGGAGGTCAGGGAGGAGAGAAGTGGGAGTAGGACCTGACTCTTGGTGAGAGCTGCCCATCAGGCAGGTTTAGCTGCAACACCACCCCCCCAACCAAGGTGTGGTGACCTACTTCAGGCATTTAACTCCTACAGGCTATGAACCAACAGCTTGGATTTAAAACATTCTTTAAATTAAAAAAAAATTAAAACAGCTGTTTGAACTCAGCCTGTTCAAGGGACATGAAGTGAATGCAGAGTGCTCACACAGCCTTTTCTGCTGGCTCAGCAGTGGAGTTGGTAGTCTTCATTTGAAAGAGCGGGTGGTGAGACACAGCTCAAGAGTACTGATACCCTACACTATCTCCAACACTTCTGTAGAGGCCATAACCTCAGTTTCACAATCTGTTCTATGGACACAGAACAGCACTTAGTTGTTCTCCCTGGAGAGGCTTTTCCAGCTCCATTTTTCCATGCCATGCCTGAATAAATAATTGGCTAGACAAATTCTTTTAGAAGTCACTTCATATCCATGTTTCACAGCTGAAAATACATCTCGGCATCCAGCGCAAGATGGATTAACAAAACTGGGTTGAGCTACAGGCTGTTGTCAGAAAATCTGGAACCACTTAGATCATCTAAAGCTCAGTAATGGGTTAAGCACACTACACTGTGCTTTCTCGTGCAGCACGGAAGGCGCTAAAAAGGTGAGCAACAAGCAGAAGGTTTGGGGAAAGCACTTCTACTGTACGTCCCAGAATAAAAGCCTTTCATATAGCTGATGTAAAAGTGGCCCACTGTAAAAATCCATCCAGATCACTAACTCTTTCCATATGTTTCTTTTGTTGCTTCTGTCTATATTTCAACTCCTAATAGGGAAAAGGGCCAAATTCTCTACTGATGCAAAGTGGTGCAACTCCATTTAAGTATGAAACATGTCTTCTATTCTAGCAGAGAATTCAGATCATAAACGAGCCAGCATTACAGAAGAGTGAATCTACTTTCAAATCAACAGCCCATCTTGGAAGGTAAATACCTTTGGATACCACTTAACACAGTGAGATCTACACGAGCATCTCCAAAACAGCTCTAACTGTGCAGTAATAACTTATTTTTTTTAAAAAAAAAGACACCAAAATGTATAACTAGGTGATCTTTCTTTTGAAAACACAGCAAACATGCTGCAGTTAGTTTAAATTACCATTTATGCAGCTTAACTGAGTGGTAATGGATCAACAAATTGTTTAATATCTTGCTACGCCTTCTGCATAACATAAAAATACCTTGGAATAAAAAATAAAAGCTACTTCTCTGAACAAAATAGTAACAAAAATAATAAATAAATGTCAGAAAAAAAGGACCAGGACAAAGCACCTGTTGGAAACTCTCCCTCAAATGGCTTTGATCTTCAGGATGGCAGAATTCTAAGATATCTTTCCCCAGAAGATCCTAGAATAAAACATAAAGCTGTGTAAAAAACCCAGACCACAACACAAATCCACATGCAGATCTGCAAGTAATCCTCGCAGACACTAGATCTAGCACCCTTAATGGGACTACTCAGTTAACTGGGGATGAATCATGCAAACAAAGTTTGTAGACATCATGTTGCACATTGTATCTGTACTGTTGCATAGATATCTGCATTTACAAACAGATTTTAATTAATTTTTTAATATCTGTGAAATGGTGCCTTAAAAAGACTGACATCCTCTACTACAGCTCATTTTATGGCACTAATTTTTGGAAAACCAGTTATCATAAAGCTTCCTAAAATAAAATGTGGGACAAACAAATGAGTAAGAAATTATTTTTGCCTCTCTATTGCAACTGTTGAGAGTCATCTGAGGGAGAGCTGTGGTAGCCAGGAGTTCATTTACTATTCTACTCAGTTCTGGGACCAGTCTCCTTTTCAGAGGAGCAGATGTACGCCTTAAGGAAAATAGATGCCATAAATGATGTTTGCTTATTGTTCAATAGATTGGCAGAAGTCAAGATCCACAGGACTTGAACTCCCCAGGCACTGTTAACTTTCTATCACAGAAATATCTTCACTGGAAAGCTGTGCAAGGTTTAGAGCATCTTGCTGTTAGAATTCTAACTGTATCTAAAAGGTTTAAAAGGATACCCCACATAACAAAGGGCTAAACTGCAAATTTTTACAGAGGCGTGGACAGCAAAGAAAAACGAACAGCATTTAGTGCACGAGATACAAATTATCAGCTCCAAAGACTTCATGGTTTGCTGCTTTTTAATGCACAAATAGAATCTTCTTCATGAGCTTTAACCAGACTGAACATTTACAGTGACTCACTGACCTGGGGCTGGTAGCCAATGACACTGATGCACCTCGGGTCGACGAAGGTGATGACCCCATCAGAGTTGTGCCTAGACAGGAACTCGGTTGGGACCGACATGCCATTCATGTCCATGCACACCGGAGAGCTGGTTACCTGTGACCAATGAAGTCCACAACATTTAGTCCACCTTAAGTCAAATTTGATTATGTAGCTGAAGAAGAAATTCTGTTGACAGAGGGCTAACTACTGATGGAAGTCATAAATGAAACAGAAGCACAAACAAATGACACAGAACAGCCTTTAGTCAGTTTTCAGGGCAAGAATGTCAATCCGTGGCACCCACATAAGCTTAATAGCACAGCAGGAAAAAAAATACACAGGAAGTTCTCAAGAAGGAGGGATATAGTTAGAAATAAGTACAGCTGGCTTCATCTCATTCTGTGGCACCACACTGAAGTTACGCATCTTGGTTCCTACCTTTGTCAACCAAGAATGGAAGACTTGGAGAGGACAATTCAGTCCACTCATACAACTCATTTTCTATACACGTATCCAATAGGACCAGCTCAGATTAAACACTGAACTTTCAGGTGAGATGAACTTCACCTGAAACACTCAGAGAACCTGAACAAAGTTCTCCAGAGTTGAGATAGGTGATACTAGGCCAGCAAATGGCTGCTCATAATGAAAAAACACAGTTCTCCTATAAATGCTACACATCAGAGAGAAAGAATGATGCATTCCTAGCTATCTGCCTGAAACCTGTGCAATCAGGCTGCTTTTCAACCATTCACTCCTGCAGGGGCTACAAATGAGACCGCTGTTTTTCTTACAACTTCCAGAGCTTTCTCAGTGTACCATGTCCCCATGCAAAAGGAGCAAAATCACTTTTTTTTTTTTCTGTCTTGAAGCAGAGCAGCCAGTTAACTGCATGCAAGATCTCAATTTGCTGTGACAGAACAGTTTTTAATTTGTGTGACTCCTTTGTGCTTAAACCCATCCACAGAGCCTCCTCTTGCTCTCCCTCACATACCCTGCTGGCTCTTCTAACCTAACATGTTTTGACACTACAAGTTACTAACGTGATTTTCTTGGAAATCACCTTTCTTTGGCAGCTGTAACATACGAATCTCTAGAACTTCCTTCTCTCCATTGGTCGAATATATTACTCTTAATTATTAAAGGCATGATCAACCTAAAGCCCATCATGCAACATTTTGGTAGCCCTGCCATCGTAACAGAGAGACACTCTGCAGAAGTACCAACACTTCCAGTCATGTGCAAGCTGTTCACCTTAAATTAGATGGGTTTGGTACCTGTGCTCTACTGAAATGGTCATTCTACCTTGTCAGAAGGAGCGATGCCATCCTAGCAGATGGCAACAGGTGCAGGCCAGTAGAGGAGATCACAGGTGAAACCTGTTCACCCATGGCAGAATTCCCAGACTGAAAATATAAAAAAAAAATCAGCCTCTCTGCTGTGATGATGATGGAGACTCACTGCAACTGCACTTAGCTCCTGCTCAGAACTCTCACCAGCAACGGAGAAAGAATAAAATGTAAAACATCAGCTGCAACTGTCTGGACAAAAAGCAAGTAAAATTTTATTCTTACAGTTCTCTCAGCTGACATCACATCTGAATGCACACTACAATACACACTGAGAATAAAGCTATTATTTGTGAACTGATTTTTGACTGCCTTATCTTAACCATGTTCAGAGTAACTCCTGTAATTGCAGTTTCTCAAGCAGTTGATTAGCCAGAGAGAGAGAACAAATGGAATAACAGCAGGCAGCATATAACTGGCTTTGGGAGCCTCTCTAAACTACTGTGTGCAGCACCTGTACTCCCACATTTCTCACAGCCTAGAATATCCCAGCCCTATGCACCCTAGGGATTAGGAGGTACACACTCATGCACCAGGGTTACCTTCACCACTGTTGCTGTGTCAAATAGACATATGCACCAAAATCACAATTGATTTTGCTCTGTTGACATGTTCTAAACAAGTACTGCCCATGGCAGGGGAGTGGGAACTGGATGATCTTCAAGGTGCCTTTCAACTCAAATAATTCTATGGTTCTATAATTCACTGGCTGCACACAGACATCAAGGTGCTTTTTATTTCATAGGCATGACAGAAGTTACAGTCCAGTACCAGAACCTTGTGCAAATCCTTTACAACTAAACCACGACACCGATTACGCTTTCAGTAGTTTGTATCCAGTAAGACTGGCATTACCTGAAGCCTTCCTATTGCCACGAGGCAGTATTTACTACCTTGTCCCACATCAGCATCTTCTTCTGGTATAGTCATTCCTAAAGTAAAGAATAACAAATACTGTTATAATTGGTAAACTGGGATAAGCAGAGTGCTACTGGCCTCATTCTATATTACTCTAGATGCTCTAAATCATACTAAATAACCTTACTGCCTTAATGCATTATCTCTGGGTTCAGGTCAGATGATCTATATCTAGTTGTGCTCAGTCCTACATACCTCCTATGCATATTCAGTACCCATGGCAGCTATTTTGGCTGCCAAAGACAAAGCAGATACAAAAATTCCATTATACACCGAGGTGGACAGTAAGATTTCCATGAGTACTGCTCCACAGAGTGCTCCTGGAACCACCTGGCCACTCAGTAAGTTCAGTGAATGCACACCATGTTCAGTTTTCTTTGTGAATAATCTATTATAATGAGTTGTAAAAACAAGGCCCACCCTAGATTTTTTCACTAACTTTGTACTCATATTTAACAGCTGATTTTACTTTTTTTCTGCAATGGACTAAATCTGGGTCATTACGTTAAACGACTGAAAAAATGCGGATGCTTTGCTAACAGTGCCTGTTTCAGTTGTGAAACAGGAGTAACTATTATAAACACAGGAATAATTTCAAAACACACATGTGTACCGATTTCCATCTCTGTGTTTCACAAATAGCAACCTTCAGATCAGCTCTGTTTACTGGCTAGTTGTCTAAGCTTTCAGTTAAGGCTATTTCCCAACTCCAGTTTTGTGATACCAATTTCCTGTGAAGCCCTTGAAAAAACATCTTCCAAGAGTGACACTGTTGACTTATTTTAAGTGATCTGTAACCTCTTTCACAAGGCTTTTCAAGGAATTCAGTCACAACAGGCAGTGAATCATTTAAGAGGCACTTTAAAACATTACTGAAATTAATTGCAAAGCAGCTACCTATTATGAAAGAACACCCACTTTACTCTCAAAATTTGTAATACCCAATGTAAGTCAATCTTTGGATCCTGCAGAGAATGACAGGATACAGCTTTCTTAAATGATGCCTCTGAAAAATAACCATAAATGCTGCTGAATGACCTGAAGTTGTCTCTGAAGGATGTTATTTTGCATCAATATAATTGACTCTGATCCGACAGTTTCTAAATAGCACTCCACAGGTATTTTTCAGTTCCCACTGAGCTATATAATAAAAGGAACACAAAGTATATTAAAAAAAAAAAGTGCCTCATTAAAAAAAATAATCTATTCAAACTCTATTTGCAATGGAATTCACAATCTTGGGGGCCTAACTTCATTTAAGCCCATGACATATAACCCTGATTTTATCAGGGGATCTCAAGAGCTTTACAAAGGAGAAGCTTTCTTGTCCCTTCTAACAACTGGGAAATTGAAGTGCAGTATGAATTTCCATGTCATACATTACAAGACTTGGGCAAAACCTCCGTCTTGTGCACAATGATCTTGCTATCCAGATATAAATATGGCTCTAAGTAACTCTTTAGGTTCTAAACCTATGTGACATCCTTCACCAAAAACTGAGATACTCCTCTGAAATGTTTTCTTAGCAGCTGTATGAGAAGATCAGGGTGGCAGTATGCGACCTTATGACTGCGTCTTAAGAAATCAATCATTACACAGTTGAAATGCTGGGGTTTGAACCCCGAGCCCCCAAATTAAGGTTGACATGTGTGTGATTCCCACAGCCCTTCATAAAGAGGTGGTGAGTTTGCCTTAGAGCTTCCCCCCAGGGTGCAGCCGGCCCTGCAGGGAGAGCCAGAAGGGAAATGAGCCCCAGGGGTCCTGCATTGAGTTGACAAAGGTCAGGGGTCTGCTTGGGGATAAAAGCTGGGACCACTGGCAGGGAGTCAGGAGTGTCTGTCTGTGGAGTGCACTCCCCAGAG